TTTGGTGGAGTAGAGTCCGGTCCTCGCCAGTACCAAGGAATCTCTAAGCACGACATGAAGGAGATGGGTGCTGAGGAGATTGCGAGGGCCCTCGCCATCCACAACGTACCCTGGGACCGGTCCGATGAGAAGCGGTGGGCTGTTGACTTTGTAGCTGTCTGCAAAGCTTTCCTGTAAGCCTACCACCCCAACCTTGCCTGACGCGATGTTGACTATGACAGATCATCTTGGTACCCTGCCCACTACGGCTATGCTTCGCACGCCATCAAGAATGCTTGTCAAGTGCCCCGCTCTTTCTTCAGATATCTTCGCTTTCACCGTGTCTGCCCCGAATTTGACTATCAGCTTGCCACTGCGCTCCAAATCTGTGACCAGGCCGACCGGGAGCTTCCCAAGGTCAACTCCGTAGGTCTTGCCCTACCCGGAGACTTCAACAAGTCCGCTAGCGTTGTCTTCGGTGGCGCTCAGGCCGACATATATACTGGCGACAAGTCGTGGGCTGAGGACCTCAAGAAGGAAGGCCTGACTGTTTCCGAGATCGGTATCCGGAAGGAAGAGGCCAGGGTCAAGTTCGGTACTGGCATCGCGGTTCTGGGCTCGGATGCGCAGTACGATATGTTCGAGTCTGGAGATCTGCAGGTTCTCAGCAGAGAGACTGCCTATCTTGAGGTCACCGCCGTTCAACTCCCTGACGACGACACGAAGTCCGCATATGCAGAGCAGAGCAAGCTCTTCAAACATAAGCTCGGCCAGCTTGAACCTCTCGGCAAGCTCCTGTGCAAGACCTGGTACACGGATGACTGTGATGAGTGGGACCTACCCAAGGACAACAACAAGTATCCCAACGGCAAGCCGCGCAAAGCTGGCGACGGCAGAGAGTACGAATTCTGGATCGAGGAAGACATCATCAAGGACTGTTTCGTGGGTCTGAAGATGGACGCCAACATCATGCACCTCACCGGCGGCATGACCATTCTCGACGACATCAAGGAGACCATGTGCAGCTTCTATACCTGGATCCCGAACGAGCTCTGGATGGAGCGGAAGCCCAAGGAAGTGCGCTGGTTGAAGAAGGGCATGGGTCTCGATGATGACGAGGATGAGGCTGAGATTGATGGCTCGAACAAGGAGAGTACGGATAAGATCGCTTCCGGCGACGAGTTTGACGATGAGTAGACGGGTAGGCGAAGGCAAGCCGATAAATTCTCGTGGAGATGATGTGATGAAACGGTAGTTCGAGATACTTTGGTCGGGTCTTGTACCCAGCTGCTTAGGGTGATTCAAGGTTTGGCTCGAAAACTAAGATCTCAAGGGGGAAATCCACGATGTTTCTCCAGTTTTGCCAAGGTTCCCTCATAATACGTAATTTATCGTGAAGGCGGTGACAAGATACAGTGTATCTCAATAAACTTAGGCTACACACCTAGAACTTTCTCGATCCTAAACAAGTGGCGTTCATCGCGAAAGGTAGTGCATTCTGCGCTTGCGCAGGCCACAAGGACGCGCCTGTGCCCATGTTTGGCGTGCCTGCGCCACACCTGGACGCCTCAGTTTCACAAGAACGTACTCGCTGGCCTTTAGCCAGGATAACACCACAACACAGAAACCAGGCACGTAGCCCAAGGTCAAACGATCCGCCGATAATATCGCGCAGCGAGGAAATGCCACGGCTCACGTTTGCATCGGGATATTACTTGGCCGCGACGACTATACGCCACAAAGATACTTGGACGACGCCTCAACACCACGCCGTGGGGTCTGGTAAGACGCGAAGTCCCGGCGTGCGGCTACTTCGGCGAGCGGCCTCATTGCCAACACCTTGGCAGCGACACACGCCATGGCTTTCGTTGGTTTGCCAAGGCCACGCCGGCGGATCATGTGGTAATTCCTGACGCGTGTGCTTGCTCCCGGGCCTTTCGTTCGAGGGTGCAACCGTGAAAGAGCGAGGTACGACTACGTGTGTGTACCGAATTAATATCAAAGGGAGAGATGCCTGGGTCGGTAGCAGTAGTGCGCGCGGCACTGCGTTGCATGGTGTGTATACCCGCCTTATCCGTCTCCCGTCTCGCATTAAAGACGTAAGTGTCGCGGGTTACCCGGCCCTACCTAGCCAGCACATGTGAGACGGACTGGGGACGTGGGAGATGGAGGAAAGGAGACGCGCAGTGCGTGCGGAGTGGAAAGGGCCAGGGACTGCCAAGGCCTTGAGTGCTCTTAGCAAGCGGAGAACGCAGGCGGGCGTGGCTTGGGTAAAACGTGCGTTACCGCCGCCTTTTGTTATCTGGGTCGCTTCTCCGCTGGCTCTTTTCCCTGGTGTTCGAGCATGCCCTTTTGCGACGAGGTTGCTGTACCACGACGTTGTGGCGTTACCATCACTGCGACCGCGACTGGGACATGAGCGACGCGCTATCGGCATTTGCGAAAGAGCGACCATTACGACTACTGGGGCTGCCGTGATCGACGAACGACTACGCTCGGAGATTTAAACAGGTGGACCTGTGCGGAGCGGGATATGTCTGCTAAAATGCACGTCGTGAGCGCAGTCTTAGACGCGCGATCGAGTATGGGGTTGCCAAATCGGGCTCAAGTTGGTATGTTCGTCCCCGTCTGCTACTACTCAGCAACGCAACATCGTCGCTGACCACATCGCAGGCCAAAATTTCCTGAACCCTTACATCTACGACCCTTCTTACCCCCTGGCCATAACAGGCGCAATTGTCGTCCTGTTACTTTCCACATACTCGATTTACCAATATGTCCGCCACAAGGCGTACTTCTTCTGGGCGGCCATCATCGCCATTATCATGCTCGATCTGGGCTTCATATGCCGCCTAGTATCGGCCTACGACGAGCACAGAGAGTCACCCTTCCTCGCCTCATGGCTCATGATCTTGCTCGCTCCCAGCTTCCTGGCTGCAGCATGCTACACGGCATTCAGTCGCGTAGTATGGTTTTCCTGCCCAACCCATGCGCTCAACTTCAAAACGCTGTGGTGCTTCCCTAGGTGGATTACCGCCAACTTTGTGTGTTTCGACCTCCTCAGTTTCCTCGTCCAACTCGTCGGTGCGAGTCAAATTAGTCGGCAGTATGATGAAGACACGCAAGGAAACCGGACCATTGCTGCTTCTGAACGGAAAGCGCTGCCTGGGCGGATCATCCTCATCATGGGTCTGGTGATGCAACTGCTCTGCTTCCTCAGTTTTTCCATCATCAGCATGCGGTACTTCTACATTAGCCGGCATTGGGCTGCACACGACCTTGGAGATTTGCACCTTTGGCGGAAACTGGGGTACACCATTAATCTCTCCTCCGTCCTTATCGCCTGCCGGGCATTCTACCGAACCATCGAGATACCACACGATCGCAACTACGGGCTAGCATATCTCCAGAGTCACGAATGGTGCTTCTGGGTCTTCGATGCCGCGCCCATACTTGCTGTACTAGTCGTGTTCGCTGTGTGGCATCCTGGTCGTTATCTGCCGAGGAGCTATACAGGGTGTAGACTGGACAAGGGCAGGGCTGTTAAAGAGAAGGATGAGATCAGTTCGATGAACGGTGGTAGTAGTGGACGGGAGACCGAGCTGAGAGATTTCAAGCCCGAGGACTTCCAGTCTGGAAGGGTCGCGACGAACGTGTAAGATTTTGAAACGCGGATGAAGAGGTTGTTTGTTCATGATACCATTGCATTTAGCGGGAGGCGCTTTGAAGCGCCATCGGGATGATACCATACTCAATGACATAATTGCATGCCCACTTTGACTGTGTCTTTCAACTTGTTGCTCTTCGCCATGTCTGTGTTGATAGACGTGTACTTCCTTATCGGTTCTTGCCACCCAGCGTCTCCTTTGATTCCAAGCACATGTCGCATAACGATATGCGTTGCTGGTGCAGGCCGCTTGATGACTATTCTCTGAGCCTCATACTGGGGTGGCTGCATGTCTGGTAATGCTGTTGGTCGACTCATGAACTCCAAGGAGTTCTCGAGCTCGTCTCTGGGTTGGTATCGGAATGTTCAGCAGATGGCTGTGTGCTCTCTTCATATGTCAGGCTGGTAGTGCATTCTGAACTTCTTGTTCGCGCGATCAGCCGCTCTTGTCTGAAATTGTTCGGCGTTGAGCTCAAAGACCAGTGGCTTCATGGGCTCCTTTCCTTCTTCAACAGGAAGCGGCAACTCAAAGCGGATGACGGTGTGCTCCTTGGGTATAGCTGAGAATGTCAGATACTTACCACTTACCTGGGTCTAGCCTACAGGACTTACATTTCACAGCGTTGTTCTTCGTGATGATCTCGAATGTGAACCTTGTATCACGGACGATGATGCCCTCCAAGCCTACGCGGCTCACGCACCGACTTCTTACCACACTCACGAGTGCACCGTGCATGTCGGCGGTCGCAAGCAGTTGCCCACTTGCGTTTGGCGTGACAAGCACATTCCTCGCAGCGTCGTTCAGGCCTAGCACCTCCCGCATGTAACCCACCCACAAATTGTGTAATCCGTCGTAGATGGCATACTTCTGTTGCTCCTTGGGTATCTCGTTCAGGCACAGTGCACGCTTCTTCGCAGCGGACAGCGGGCGAGGCTGGTTCTTCCTGCGCTTCCTGGCGGCTTGGTTGCGCTCGTTGAGAGCGCGGCGGCGGACTGCGCGTGCAGACGGCGTAGGCGAGGTTGCGCGAACGTGGAGGGGGCGCTTTATGACGCGCTCGTGGTAGTGTGATTCTGCAGTTGAGGGAGAAAATGCGCGATGCAGCAGCGTCTGCGCAATGTGTGGATTGGCGTCTGCCATTTCGAGTCCCGTATCGCAGTAGCAAAAGTCGCAAGTCGTCGGGATGTGCGAAGTTGGTGTTCTTGGATATGACGAGGAAGACGGCGGCACTAGTGCGCACAAAAGCGGGCTAGAGCGGTGGCTCGGCTATCGTTTTGTCCGCGCTGCCTCCCACACAATTTCGACAATTCGACTTCAGCTTCTCGACAACACCGCTAACCCGCAGCAACCGTCAAGATGAAGTACATGTACGTCTATCCCTCGATCACGACTCCCAAGCCGCCGCATCGCACGTTTTTCTCTGCCTCCGAACGGTCAATGGACGCCTCTATACCGAACTTCTCCGCCAACAAACATCAAATTCCGGATCCAATGCTGACGTTTGCGCAACAGCCACTCTGAGGAAGAGCTCGAGATCCCCGAGGGCGTCAAGGTCCAGATCAAGAACAGAAATGTTCTCGTTGAGGGTGAGTGCGCATGGTAGAGGACCCCTAGAGAAACAACACTGACATATCCAACAGGCCCTCGCGTAAGCCGCCCGCAATAGCCTCTACCATCCTCGAACCGATTCTTACACTCCACAGGGCAAGCTCACAAAGTCTCTCGGTCACTTGGCGGTCAGCTTCACGCACGTACGTTTGGAACACACACATCGCATCGGGGGCATATGCTAAGACTGGAACAGCCCAAGAAGAATCTCATCAAGATCGAGCTCCACCACGGTTCCCGCAAGAGCGTCGCCACCCTCCGCACTGTCCGCACCCTGATTGTACGTCGCGCGCACCCTCGAGTCTATACTGGCAAGGAAGGAAGGACTGGGCTGACTGGAGTAGAACAACTTGATCATCGGTGTCACCAAGGGTTACAAGTACAAGATGCGTTACGTATATGCCCAGTATGTCGCACCCATCGCACATCTCTTCCGAACTCGCCGCAGAGCATGTTCCATCCGACAAGACTTCCAGCGCTCTCGGAGAGGCTGATGACAGAGCGCTGGGCGCACCAGATTGGCTCGTGCTCTTGGCGGGCCTTTGCATATCGTTGAACATGACTAACATCATGTCCAGTTTCCCCATCAACGTCAACCTGGACAAGAACAAGGAGACCGACTGCTGGGAGGTTGAGATCAGGAACTTCATCGGCGAGAAGCTCGTACGAAGGGTCGTCATGAGGCCCGGTGTTGAGGTTGAGGCATCAAAGAACCAGAAGGATCAGCTCGAGCTGTCCGGAAACGTAAGGACCGCTGCGCAACATGGATCGAAGCAATGCTAACGATCACCCAGTCGCTCGAGGACGTCTCCCAAGGTGCCGCCGATATTCAGCAAATCTGCAAGGTCCGCAACAAGGATATCCGAAAGTTCTTGGACGGTCTGTACGTGTCGGAGCGCGGCAACATCGTTGAGGACGCGTAAACGGTTCTGGGGAGTACGGGTTTCTTTACGGGCAATGAGCATCTATGAACTTCTCTGCATCATATGCGGTTGGCGCCTGGGGGTCTAAGATCAAAAACGATGTTCAAACAATACCACCATGACTTGATGGAATCGCGCCGGCACATTCACGATGAAGTGTGAGGTGATGAGAGGTCAATAAGATCAATACTTGCCAAGAGACATGAACGATCTAAACTCACTTCAACACAACTGCGACTGCTTTTTGGCCTTTGCTGATGTTGCATGGTGTGAGCCCGTGCCTGAGGAGTCCAGCCTAGCACACTATGAATGAGATCACATTACGAGTAAGCATGAATCTGATGATCATTCGGTTCCATCTCTTTATCCATGCACGAAGAGACGCCTCCTGCCTCTTTTGGCGGCTGGACTGCCCGCGGATGTGGGATTTCCACATGACGTATCCATGGCGGCTCGTCGTGCCTGAACCCCGCATCGTTGTTCGTTGTAATATCTACCACCGGGACAATGATGAGGCTATCGCCGCAAAGCCCGACAATGACAGCTCATTGTAACCTCGATTGGAAAGCAGGTGGTGCAGGCACGGCGAAAGTGCCGTCATGGCGAAATATATGAGCACCGTGTCGCCCATACAGCTGTTGGTTTATTCACACCTCAGTTGCTTGCCCCACCACAGCCCTGCGAAACATCAAGGACCCCACTAAACACCAATCCGCAACCGATCTACTGATTTGCGACCATGGCGGACAAGCTCGATATTGAAGGGCTCCTCAAGGAGTCCAAGGCTGAATATAAGCGCTTGGGAAAGAGCGGTCTCAAGGTCTCGGTACCCATCTTGGGTGCTATGAGCATTGGAAGTTCCAAATGGCAGCCCTGGGTCATCGAAGAGGAAGAGTCGCTACCGCTGCTGAAGGCTGCATACGATCGCGGTCTGACGACTTGGGATACAGGTAAGACTGACAGAGCAGCCATGTACTTGCAACAGTTACTGACAGCTTATAAAGCCAATGTTTACTCCAACGGTGTATCTGAGGAACTGGTTGGCAAGGCCATCAAGAAGTACAACCTACCTCGCGATAAGCTAGTAATTCTCACCAAATGCTTTGGCTACGTCGGCGAGGACCCTGGTCTGCGAACCATCCAGTACGGCAAAGAGCTGCCTCAGTTGAAAGACTATGTAAACCAAGGTGGTCTCTCACGGCAGGCCATCTTCAACGCTGTCAATGCGTCGCTTAAGCGTCTTGACATGGACTATATCGATCTTCTGCAGATTCACCGCTTCGATCCAAACACGCCTCTCGAGGAGACCATGGAGGCGCTGCACGATCTGGTCAAGAGTGGGAAAGTTCGATACATCGGTGCTAGCTCCATGTGGGCAGTGCAGTTTGCGCAAATGCAGTTCACTGCCGAAAAGAACGGCTGGACAAAGTTCATCAGCATGCAGAACCACTACAACCTGCTCTACCGTGAGGAAGAGCGCGAGATGAACCGGTTCTGCAATGACACTGGTGTTGGTCTGATTCCGGTATGCTTCCCTTTCAACTACAAAGTCAATATTTTGCTAACAGCTTGACAGTGGGCACCTCTTTGCCGTGGCCATCTCGCTCGCCCTCCCTCTGCATTCGGCTCGACTACTCGCTCAGAAGGCGAACAGAAGGCCGGTAACCAAACCTCTGGTAACACTGAACTTGACAAGAAGATCATTGCTCGCGTTGAAGAGATCGCGAAGAAGCATGACTGGAAAATGAGCCACGTTGCCCTCGCATGGATCAACAAGCGTGTCGCAAGTCCAATCATCGGCTTCTCCAGCACAGACAGGATGGATGAAGCGCTTGCAGCGAGGGGCAAGGAGTTGACTGAGGAGGAGGAGAAGTACCTCGAGGAGTTATACGAGCCCGTTAGGATTGTTGGGCATTCATAGGCAAATCATGCAATAACATCGATAATAGCGGTCGGAGCCAACAAGCGATATATCAATTAATGTTGCGGTGTCAAATGCGAAGTCATCATGCATCTATATTGCTTTTCCAAGTGAGTAATTACAAAGTCCATATGGATACCTAAGTACCTAGGCAGCCCAGAATCATCTTGCGAAAGCGGACAGTCCAGTAGAATGCTGACATGCATCTCCGCGTGGACCTTGAGCCCTTGCAGTAATCAAGTGGATCTCTGATTCACTCGGACCGCATTAGGGCCCGGAGCTGAGATGATACGCGTCGATGCGCGCTTTGTCCAGTCGCCGAGCGGCCAATGACGTCGGTCACGCGATCTATCTCACCACCGTGCCTGATGCTCCGGAGCAACAACGCAATGGCAATAGATACTTGGGAAGATTGAAGTGCGAATAACGAGGCTCAATTGCTAGCTTCTACACTATCTCGAGCTCTTTTGACCAACAATGTGGGATGGACACGCAGGCTTCCACCGTTGGTTTGCTCCTTCCCCGCATTCTGGGTGATGCTCCCCTTCCCCGCATTGGCCCGACCATTCACGTCTCACGCCGATTGGATTGGACCACAATGTGGTGATCGATCAAGTGACCGTCTCCTGTGCCTGCCGGCGAGAGACTGAGCCCCTCATAAGCTGCGCCCTCCCTCGTTTCCTCTCCTTCCTCACAGCCTCCACTGTGCTTTCGTATCTCACATCACATCCACAGCTCCAGGCAACCCCTCTACAGCTTCCCAAGCCCTTTCATCATCTACAACCCCTTCAATCTTCCAGTAGCTTGACTGCAACTGCATCCTACCACAATGGCCGCAGAGACAGAAAACACGCTCCAGAAGGTCGACTCTTTGACCGATCACCAAGATGGCGCCGCTAAGAAGGGCCACCGCAGAGTCAGCTCCATGGCTGCTGATGTCTACCGCATCGAGGATCTAGGTGAGTACCTCTTATGACGATAGCCCAAATGAGGGGTCGTGCGTGAGCAGCGGGCGGGGCTGACAGAACCTCAGAGAAGGAAGGCAAGAAGATCGAGATCGCACTCGAAACCCAGAAGCTGAACTGGTAAGTGATTCCCCTCATCGCATTGTTGCGAGCCATCCGACCATGATGCAGACCAGCTCGTCGTCGTCCGGATAGCTCCGGCAGCCCCAATGTCTTGACCGTGCTAATGCAGTACTTCCAGGAAGCTCAACAAGTCGCCGAGCACCGTCGAAGACCCGTCAGTCTTGAAGATGCCACTCACCGAGCCCAAGCTCAAGTCCATCGCCCTACACTTCCCGCTAGGATTAGAAGTTACCGCACGGAACATGAAGGGTGTAACCATCAAGGACGCACTAGATGCCATCCACAAGCAGTTCAAGAAGCGCGTAAGTGTCCCTTGTCATTGGATCTTACCATTGAGCATCGTTGTCGCTGTTCCTATATACCGCGTACTTTGATCTTGGTGCCAAAGCATAGCTAACCCTCCTATAGGCAGACGACGAGTTCGAGAAGCCATACCTCATGGGCTTTGAGTGGGACCCAGAAGAGTGCTACACCCGCTTCATCGTCCACCAGTCGGCCGTTCCTACAGTAAAGAATGACTTCGGCTCAAGCAAGAAGAAGAAGAAGAACAAGGCCGAAGGCGAGGAGGGTTCCTAGATGAACGACTCGCCCCCTTCCCTGACGTCGACTTTTACACACAGCCTCAGTCATACTTCCGTGCTTCGGCGCTGGTATGTGCGGGGTACGGATAACTCGGGTGCTGGTCAATCTTCATATCGATATGGGAAGAGCGAGCGCATCTGCCGCGATGGCGTGTCTGGTATACTGTAGGCCTGCGCAGGTAGGCGGTTTACTGGTTGCGGGTATCGAGCGGTGGATGCGTCGTGGAACCGTTCGTGGGGTACTTGCTGAAGGGCAGTACCCGCTTATGTATGCTCTCGGGCACTCTTTGAGGTTGCTGGAAAGCACTTCATACAATGAGAAGACCTGGTTACATGTCATGTCCTCGAAGCTGTCTGTGATGTCGTTTGTAAAGGTTTGACGTTGACTTGGGCGGACCCACCCTACTGCGGGCAGCTCTCCACCACGCTGTAAGCGAAGGCACGCGGGCACGTTGCGGCTTCCGCGATCACAATTGACTGTCCTTCCGTACCGTCTATGAACGCGTCTCACGTATGCGACTCATTGGGTGTTCATTTATCGCATCTAGTAGTGTCGCATATGCGACACGACATATCCCTATGATGGCCGCTCAGCTGTCCTCAAATGGGGTAGCAAGTAGCCTTGCATTGGTAGCGCTGCAAGCGCTGGCGTTTCATCACCCTTAGCATAAACCTTTGTCCTTCGACACCGTATTTTGAACATCAACTAATCAGTCTCGCTACCTCATCTAATCATACTTGTTTCTTTGCACACGATTCCAAACGCCTACATACGTAGCCTGCGCTCAAACGTTGTGCGTGCAACATAGCCTAGCAGGAGACCTACATACCGCGACAACAAGCCAGCTCCCGGGATCCGCCTGTGTTTACTATCTGGAAACCGCGTCCATCGAATCGTATATACATACCAATGCGATGTTCACAAACCTCCAGATAAGGCCTGCCAAGACCCGACGCCGCAAGCCTAGCTTGTCCATTCGGGCTGGCGTCTCAAAGCGCAGGGTTTCCACTGTTTCGGCATTGAGTGCGAGTATCGTTCCGTCCGTGAGCTTTATGGAAGGCCTGTTTGGCGATGAGTTCCCCGAGGCCTTTGGAAGCGGGGCCCAGAACAGGAAGACCATCACAGACTTGCCATCGGAACTTCTCGAAATCGTCTGCCAACACATCTCAAAGCTCGACATCAAGCGACTGCGGCTCACGAGCAAGCATTTGGCGGCCAGCGTGTATCTGCGTATAGATCGCGTCTATGTCTCGCCTAATCGAGCTAATCTGGACTATCTGCATCAGATCATGGCTCACCCGACGTACAAAAACCGTGTACTCGAGATTGTCTGGGATGATGCCTTGATCAATGAGTATTCAACTTTGGATGAATTCCGCCAAGCTGTTCTCGCCGACGAAAGAGAAGTT